ATTATTCCTTTCGTATGTATGTAAGTTTATTCAGGTATACACAAATACATTTACATAGATTATCATACATAACAGCATATATGTAGAGAACCTAGTGTAACCCAAAAAAGTCAGAGTGACTTATTTCCATTGCCTTCACTCAGAGTGTCATTTCTTCTAAAAATGGTGTTACATGAGAATGGGAGTGTTCTTCTTTATTTATTCTACCGTATCAATGTAGAGACAACTTGTACACAAACCAGACGTGTACACTTTGTTTACAAAACTTACGTTCGCCTGGCTTGTTTACATAACTCTGCGCCTGTCTTCCCTCACATACTCATTCTCTCTCATTTATTCGTTTTATCTCGTTTACTCACTCCTGACCCTATATTAAGACTACAAATATTTTAAGGTAAGTAATGAGTGAACTGTATATACATTTTATCACTCTGGGATGCTTAAATGTAATAGAAGATTATGTGTAGGCAGGGTGGCCTGGTATGGTAGCCTGGCTGACTACCCTATATACCACACTTGATTTCTTACAGTAAATACTACTTGTCTCACCCTAGATTAAGACTAAATATTTTAAGGTAAGTAATGAGTGCACTATGTGTGTATTGTACTTTTTTATTGTTTTTTGATGCCTAGTTCTATTGCTAACTTAATATATTTTAGTGTAAACTTGTTATCTAGTATTTATATGCATTTATAAGAGGAAAAAAAGCATGTTCCACTTTACGGCGGTAGCTTGGAACCTAACCTGCCATATAAGTGGGGCCCTACTGTACAAGATTTCCATTTATTTAAGTTTTGTCTCTTGGTCAAAAATTAAATGCTTGACATCTAGAGGTAATCTTATCATGATATGAAAATTAACTATAAATAAAGGGTGTATAGTATTTAAACTGCAATAATAACTTTGTGTATGTGCATGAATTTCTTGTTATTAAGTCCTAGCTAAATCTACAGATACAAAATACTCAGTAGATTTATTTCAGACTTAATACCCAAAAAACATGCATATACAGTAAACCCTTGATATAATGAACTTTTTAAATTATACATAAAATCCCCTGTTTAAATTGTACTTTTAAACTCCTTTATTTTAAATGCTTATTGCAGCACATCCGTAAACTGTTTGTACAGTATTATAGGTATACAGTGAACGTTTTTACCATTTTTTTAACAGTGATATAACAGACAGTCCCTGTTAGTTATATCGAGCTTGCTGGATGCCTCTACAACTAAAGAGCCTCTTTCTTGTACCCCCTCTCTCCTGTCATTCCTTGGATGACCCCTTTTCCTTCTACCTTCCCTTCCAGGTTTACACACTCTTCATCAACCTATCCCTGACCAACCTCTCTACATGCTCAAAAAACCTCAGCCGCCACCACATTGCTTTTTAATTTCTACACTCCTAATTCTCTGCATAATATTCGCACCACACATTTTCTCTCAAACATGACATCTCTGCCTCCTCTAGTGTTCTTTTCACAGGTAAACTTCTAAATGTTCATGGATACTTCAACACCCCCTCCCCCCACATCTATATGTAGAACAACTACTGTAAAAAAAATGGCAAAATTCCTAGTGCTTTCGTGACTTCTCTCATTATCAAGGAACTTGATAATGTGAGAAGTCACGAAAGTGCTTGGAATTTTGTTATTTTTTCACAGTGGTTGTTCTTCATATTGTGATATCACCTGTTTACTGAGATCTTATTGCACACATCTCTATAAAGAATGCTCTTTGTCCAGAGATTTAACACTTTCACTGTTGAGACCTCTGATCACAAACCTGCTCTGTCGAAAAATATTTGAAAAAAAAAAAAAAATTATTTTATCTTACCAAAATCTTAAGAATATTTTTCTGATTGTTTTAAAAGATTTTTTTTTTTTTTTTTTTTTTTGCGATCACTACTTACTGAGTATAGAGGCATGAAGTTGACAGAAAGTGAATCGCTTACGGCAACTGCCGCTCACTCAGTAATATTATTTTTACTTTTATTCTATTTTTTTCTTTTTGTTTCTAATATTTTATTCTTTCAAGTAACTTGTGTGGCCTGTGAGACCAAAATAATGCACAAATTATATATATTATATATATATATATATATATATATATATATATATATATATATATATATATATATATATATATATTATATATTATATATACAACACACACACACACACACACTTGTATGCAACACAATAACTGCACAAACATTATCATTATATTGTTTACAAAACAGGTTTACACAAACCCACACTGTCTTCCCCACCCATGCTTGACTTTTATGGGTTATCCTAGGTTCTCTACACATGCTGTTATGTATGATAATCTATGTAACTGTATTTGTGTATAGCTGAATAAACTTACACACCATCTTCCCCACCATCCAAGCTGCTTTCCCCAACACCTAAGCTGCCTTTCCTTTTCAATATCTGTATCTGGTATCCTGGGCATTGCTTTCGGTCACAAACTCCTCAAAACCATGAAATTCATCTTCACTGACACTTTCATCTATTAGAACTATCACTTGGGAAGAGAAATGCCAAATTTGCCAGGGAGTCAGATATTTCTTACCGCTAGGCATGCTGAACAAGGACTACTGAAATGGTGTTCCCACAGTGCACCACTGGCTCCCCGATTTTTTTTTTTTTTATACTGCACACTGACCCATTCTCTCACACGTAGGCCTACCAGCTTTCTCCTACTAGATTTGAAGCCGCTAGAATTTTGGCGTAGTACTACGGCACCAACACTGGCTTGTAAGCTGTAATAATATGGCACTAACAGTGAAAGGGTTAAAGATGTGAGCTCAGAGCATAGGATAACCTTGAATACCAAATACAGTATAGAGATATATGGAGACAATATGCAGAGCCAGCTTTTATAAAGTAATTTAGAGGGTGCTTTTTACACATGCACATACTTGTGAAAGTGAGGCAAGACTAAGGAAAAATAAAGGATTATGTATTATGCCCCAATGATGCAGGTAGCAGAGCTCTGCAGTTGTCCAGCAGGTTCATTATTAGGTTTGATTACAGGCCAGGAGCAGTGCTGTATAGCCCTTGTGGTTTAGCGCTTCTTTTTGATTATAATAATAATACAGGCCAGGTATTTCCCATGTAAGCTGGTGAGTGTCAAGGTTTGTTAGGCAAAAAGCACCTTCATTCTGTTCTGTAGTGTTGCTGATTACTGGAGCCATCTCCTTTAATGTCTTGCCAACCATAAGGTATCCATATTTGTCCCAGTGAATGACATTGTGTTGAGAGTCCTATGAGCACACTGATGTCTTCAAGTTCTGATGTATAATTTATAGGACTCTCAACACAATGCATGTGTCATTAACTGGAACAAACACGCACACCTTGTGATGTGACAAGACACTAAACTTATTATTACAGGAGACAAATCCAGTTGTAGCCTTGCAGCAGTGATCAGCAGCAAAACACTGGAGCAAATCCAAGGTGCTTCAGCCTAGCAAACACAAACCTCGGTATACATTTTCTTACACAGAAAAAAACCCAGCCCATAATCAAATAACAGGTAAAACCTAATAATGTACCAGTAGGCCAACTTCAGTGTTCCACTACCCTTTTTAGTTTTCGGCATGTCACCTTACACTGGTCTTATCTCACTTGCCAGGGAGAGAGAGTGCACATGTGTTTAAAACATATCTTGATGATTTGGTACTTTGAAACTCTACCCTGAGCAAAATGTCTCAGAAAGCATATTCTGAATATTATCTTCATACATATACCTGTCAGCACTATGCTTTGACATCCTCATTACTGTTGCTTCATAGATTTAACTCTGTACATATTATATTACAGGAAACCTTTAATTTTAATTTTTATTAGATATAGCTAATCTCCAAATGTTTGTACAAAGACAAACTTTCATGTAAATTTTTCTAGAATTAGCTATGTTGGAGTGAGCTACCAATCTACTGTATAATGTTAGTCATTTTTCTGAGTACTATGTATTACTACAACCAAAGAAATTATACAATATTTTTATATGAATCTAATGCTGGTTGTGCAATCGCATTTATGTTAAATCAGTTTTGTAGGTTAAAGTGTAAGTAGCAGCAGGATGAGGAACTTGTTAAATTATATCTATTGATTGCAATAGACACAAATGCAGAACAGAACTTTTAGTGAGACAAGGTTTCCCCTACATAACAGTAATTTTCATTGACTTGTTAAAACCCGTTATGCAGGCAAACTGTCACCTCAATAACAGTTCTGTTCCCCAGTTGTCAGTTATACGCAGTCTCTCTATGTTTATCCAAGCATTGCACTGAAATATGAAATAAACTTACTTTTTTATCCTTTCACCTTATACATCTGCACCACTTTGTGATAACTTTTATATATAATTTTTTTTTAGTGCTTATAAGCAGGCATGCCAAATGCAATGTTTTAGGACAAAATTATTATGGTCATAATTGAAAAAGTTCACCTTAGAGGTGATCATGGAATTCAATTTCTCATTAATTTTGAAATTTGAGTTATTGAATAAAGCATATCTCAAGAAATACTTAGAAGCCTATAGATCATACTGGAACTAATTTGAATAGGTTTCAGAATTTTTTTTAAATCTAATGTGGAACAATAGTAGTCTGGATTAACCCAGGAAAGATCAAATTTGAATATTCTTCCAAATTCCCCTAGTACAATATGACCCTTTTGGGTTTAATACTTCCCCCAAGATGCAACCCACAACAGTCAACTAGCACACAGGTACAGTACCTACTTTTACTGTTAGGTGCGAAGGAGTTAAAGGAAAACTTGTCCAGGCTCACTGACTGTGTCAGGTGAACAATATCTTCACTAAGCTGCTTTGCACCCCCATATTGAGTGGCAGTAGTAAAATATACTGGATCTTAGTCTGCGTACTAATATAACACAAGCAGCGCTGGATGACCCTGCTGGTTTAGCACTTAGTTTTGATTATAATAATGTGTGTTGTACAGAATGAATACCATGTGCAAGATAATCAAATGCAAATTCACTTTTATTTCAAAATTATGTCCACGATACAATTCTCAGCATTACAGTTATGTAGTGGAATATATTTACTACATATATGCACATGCAATTAGGTCTCCAGTAGTGACACACATACTGACACTGTTTAGTTTAAAAGAATAATGAGAGATTAAACTATCAGAGGTGTAGCTGAATTTTTAATAAATTAGAGATGGTTTTCTCTTAAATTGCTGTATGATCCAGGTGGTTTGGCACTTATTATTATTAGCATAATCAAATTATTTATTATAATAAAAAAGAAGCGCTAAGCCACAAGGGCTATACAGCACTAGCATAATCAAAACTAATTCTCTTAAACTGGGTTATAATCCCTTGGCTGAGGAGTATAAAAAAAAAAAAAAAAGTCTACTAAATCTAGAGCATTCTTCTGAATTAATAACTGTACCACAAAGACTATAAAAAATACACCTCAATGACTATCAATCAAAACTACACCTTGATCATCATCATCACTATATCCTCAGGGCTATATTAAAATAAATGTGGTAGTCACTAATGATTTTTGAAATCAAAGACTAAAATCATTGATAAGATTAATGTCATTAGCAAAATATGATAGTTTAATCCTGAAGCTGATCAAGTAAAACAAAAATTACCCCCCCAATGAACACTTCAAAAGGGAGGAGCTATAATATCCTCTTTTGGCTGAAATTGTAAAAAACATCTTAAATGAATCCAGTGCATCATATTTTATTTGATGGTAGGTACTGTATGATTCCTACAGGTTTAGCACTCTCAATGAATCTAAGAATAATAATAATAATGTTGGTGACTGATAAAATATTTTGTGTGATCACCAACACCACATGATGCAGATTTTTACCATACAAGTATGACCTGCCTGCCAATGGCTACATTTAATAAAAATGTATTTAATCAAGTTTTACAGTGAAAAGCAGTTTTTATGAATTCTTTTATCCTACATTATACGGTGGTACATGAGGATATGAACAGCTAAAAACTCAAACAAGTGTATTTATGTAAGTGCATTTTTGGGGGTCTGAAACTGATTAATCTAATTCATATTATTCCTTATGGGAACAAATTCGTTCAGTATCGGCACTCGAACAGCCTTCTGGAACAAATTAAGTTCATATCCCGAGGTATTTCTGTACCTAAAATATAATTCATTTGTAACAAAACAGTTGGTAGCAAGTGGTATTCTTTTTTTTTTTTTGTGTGTGTGTGTATATGTGGAATACTCTAGAATTTTTTTGTATATTCGAGACAAAAATTTTTGTTGTGCCATAATGCCCTTGGCTCCAGTGACTTTAGGATAACAGGATTCACCTGTATTGTATTATGTTTCAAAGATTTATAACTTATTTTAAATTTAAGCCTTCATTAACTTTTGTTTTATAAACAAAGATACCCAGATATACTACATACTTAGTTGTAATCTGCTCCACTTTCCTTCCCCAACAGTTGCTTAAAACTTTGTTTTTAATCTTGTTTAGGTTTCTGTTGAGCCGAGTCAATAGGATTTGTCTTAGGTTTCTGTTGAGCCGAGTCAATAGGATTTGTCTTTTCCCTGCAAAGAAAAATGAAAGTAAAAGATTTAGAACAAAAAGGCACAATACTGTGATGAACAATACACAGATAATCCACACATAGCGGAATTTGTAAAAAGTCCAAATTTGACCAAAACATCGTCATAAGTTTCTGCTATGTGCGGGTGTGTAAAAGATATATGGTATCATAATTAAAAAAAAATGAGTTGCCTTGGACTTATGGTAATTATGAATCAGGGATATATTATTCACAAATAACCTGCACACAGGAGACTGAAACTTAGACTATACAGCAGAACCCCTGCACCCGTGGGTTCAATTTCCATGGTGTCGGTTATCCGTGGCCCAGAAATATTAAGGGGGAGAGCAAGATTCAATTAAGAAAATTTTAATAATCCAATTTCAATTATTTTTTTGTATTGTAAGTTAAGAAGATGGTATGAATTGTATACTATAAGTTTCATGAAATTTGCCCAAAAATACGAAGAGAAAATAAGTAATGATTTTTGATATGGCAACACCTTGGCAAATATGTGCCAAATTGTTAATGTTTAGGATGTTGTAGTTGAGTTTACATGAACAAGTAAAGGCTAAAGATGAATTGTACAGAAGGAAATGAAAAACATGTTGAGAAAACCTCTCAATCTCTCTCCAGGATAAAACACTGATTTTCCACCAATTCTACTCGTCTTAAGCTTATTATGATATAATAAGTATTACTTTTTTTTTTTCAACAAGTCGGCTTTACTTACTTATATTAAAATCACCATTTGACATGGTAACAAAGTGGGAGGAGTGAAGCTAGCTGCTGATAGGCTCAGGGCTCTGTTCATATGCATCTCATACTGTCATTCCTTGTGCTACATTGATACACACCTTTGCCCACGCCAACTGCTTATTCATCCCATCCCCCTGGGCCACACCCTTGCTCTACACCCAGTAACAGCCTCCTTGTCCACAACCCCCACCTATACCACCTGTCCCTATAAATCCTCTGTGGCCACACACCTTCACCAATGTCCTCTAACTCATTCCTGCCTCTCCCACCTGTACCTCCCCCTTCTATAATTCCCCTACAGCCACATGCCTTCACCCACACCATCCCAACCAACAACCTATCCCTACACAAACCACCCATACAACTTCTGTCCATGGCTACACACTTACACCTATACCATTCCCCCACAACCACCATTCCTTCACAGCCACATATCTCCTATGTCCTCACCCACACACCTTACCTGACCTTTCACATTAACATGCTATCCACATACCTAATCACTTAGTGACCACACTCATTACCACCAACTGCACAATCGCCCACCCATCATCCAATCACCACCCACACCAGGCCACTGACAAGCACACCTTTTGCCCACATCACTCCCCCACAGCTTCAATCCCATACTGCCTCACACCTTACTCATGCTTTCACTCATCACTCCCCCACAGCTTCTAGCCCCTCATAGCCCCCACATCCACACCTTACCCATGTTTTCATGGCCCACACACCCTTAACAATGCCATCTACACTCCTAGTCATTTAGCCACCAACCACCTTAATTACAGCCCATACCAGCTGCACATTCACCTGCTCAGTCACCCATCATCCACACTAGACCACTAACACTGCCACCCACATGGTCACCATCACACAATCTCATTGTTTCCAGCCTCCATCCCTACAACCCTCCAACACCCAACATCACAGGTATGTATGTAAATGAAAAACAGTTCATAGGGTTTGCTTCTATCCGCAGCTTCGGGCATCTGCAATAAGTCTTGGAATGTATCATCTGCAGATATGCAGGAACTACTGAATTATTATATTCCAAACCATAGGCTATACAATTCACCAAAAATCCGCACTTATGATATTGTTATTTGTTACTGGACCACTGTCAAGTAACAAATAACAATGACTTTACAATGGACCAGGAAGAACTGAAATGTCATCATAAAGTTGCTCTCCTAAGTGTGGGTGTTTGGTGAATTGTTCCAGTCATGGTGTTGTGACTATGCAATGTATAATACGTAGGGAAAATTTATTTTGATTTTTACACACACACAAATTTGTCACAGAAGAAAGTTAACACTGAAATCAATTTGCTATACAAGATTAAATACAAAATATTTATCTATTTTTTAAAAATCAAGCACAGTACCCAAGTACGGGCCTATGAAATAAAGATAGATGTAAAGTATTTACCTGATTTCTGTTTGATGTGCATTTTGAAAGCACTACATGACCCCTAAGGCTTCAGTGCTTCTTCCATAAATGTAATAATGTAATATATGATATAAATGTATAATGAGTTGTAATAGATCTTTGGTATTCAACCTAAGTCTATGATATCATACTCATAACAAACAAATACTGCACAATAGTTTACAACTCAAACTTGCCTTTTGACTGCAGATGTTGCACCTCTTGATCTATGCCTAAGTCCTTTCCTACATGGGCGTCTAGCCTCTTCTTGAGCTTCCTCTACATAATTCATATAGTTGTAATTGTTGCCATCTCGATCATTTTCTTCAAGTGCCGTCCTAATATTTCCTCGTTTATCGTAGTTTCTGTCATAGTCGTCACCATAGTCATCATCAAAGTCTTCAGTCTCTTCTTGCTGTAATAGAGCCTGACGTTCCTCATCATCTCTCTCCCTCTTCCTACCATAAAATCTGCTGCTACCTACATCTTGAGAAACCCTAGAGTAACCAGTAAAGTTGGTTGGTCTCTGTTGTTTTTTTTTATCTTTAAGCTTATTTTTCTTCTTAAATTTGGCCTTCAACTTCTTGAGGAAATTTCTTTTGGTTTGTTTTATGTGTGTCCTTACTTCTTGTCCAGGAACACTCTCATGACTGATATTAAAAAACAGAAACATGGTTTTAAATCATTATATATATATATATATATATATTATATTATATATATATATATATATATTATATATATATATATATATATATATATATATATATATATATATATATATACATACATGTATATATATATATATATATATAATTTATTTATTTAGTTGTAGCTACAGTTAGAGTAAGAGGTAGATGGGAAAAGAAGAAGGTGGCAACAACAAGTAAGAGGGAGGTGAAAGTGTATAAACTAAGGGAGGAGGAAGTTCGGGTGAGATATAAGCGACTATTGGCAGAAAGGTGGGCTAGTGCAAAGATGAGTAGTGGGGGGGGTTGAAGAGGGTTGGAATAGTTTTAAAAATGCAGTATTAGAATGTGGGGCAGAAGTTTGTGGTTATAGGAGGGTGGGGGGGAGGAAAGAGGAGTGATTGGTGGAATGATGAAGTAAAGGATGTGATAAAAGAGAAAAAGGTAGCTTATGAGAGGTTTTTACAAAGCAGAAGTGTTATAAGAAGAGCAGAGTATATGGTGAGTAAAAGAAAGGTGAAGAGAGTGGTGAGAGAGTGCAAAAGGAGAGCAGATGATAGAGTGGAAGAGGCACTGTCAAGAAATTTTAATGAAAATTTGGAGTGAGTTAAACAAGTTAAGAAAGCCTAGGGAAAGTATGGATTTGTCAGTTAAAAACAGAGTAGGGGAGTTAGTAGATGGGGAGATGGAAGTATTAGGTAGATGGCAAGAATATTTTGAGGAACTTTTAAATGTTGAGGAAGAAAGAGAGGCAGTAATTTCATGCACTGGTCAGGGAGGTATACCATCTTTTAGGAGTGAAGAAGAGCAGAATGTAAGTGTGGGGGAGGTACGTGAGGCATTACGTAGAATGAAAGGGGGTAAAGCAGCTGGAACTGATGGGATCATGACAGAAATGTTAAAAGCAGGGGGGGATATAGTGTTGGAGTGGTTGGTACTTTTGTTTAATAAATGTATGAAAGAGGGGAAGGTACCTAGGGATTGGCAGAGAGCATGTATAGTCCCTTTATATAAAGGGAAAGGGGACAAAAGAGATTGTAAAAATTATAGAGGAATAAGTTTACTGAGTATATCAGGAAAAGTGTACGGTAGGGTTATAATTGAAAGAATTAGAGGTAAGACAGAATGACCATAACACAAGGCACAGATCACTCTTTGATGTTCCTTGTGTCCATCTCACACTATGCAAAAACTCAATGCACATAAAAGGCCTTAAAATCTGGAATTCATTACCTGTAAATATAAAAGAAACACTACCTGTTTATAAATTCAAGTCTCTTCTCAAAGATCACTTACTCACCCAAAACCAAATAAATACTGAATAACTGAACCTTATAAATTGTATATCTTAAATGTTTCTCACAATTATATCACATAAATGTTAAACCTAAAACCCAATCTAACTTTATTATTTTTTAAATACACTACCTAACAGAATACTCCATTCTACTGAATGTACAACAATGCATGCAACCATATGACCTGTCTTTGTAATACTCACTTGTGCTTTATAGTAATCTGTTTACATTAATGTTTTTCACTGATTTCATCATTGCTTAGTTAATCTTAAGTTAATTTTAAGCCAGCCCGTAATGCTATGCATAGTATAAGTGGCTTTGGCATGCTGCTCTTATCTGTATTTTTTTGTACCTCTGTATGTGTGCTCAAATTGTAAATAAATAAATAAATAAAAAATAAATGTACGATTGCGGATGAGCAAGGAGGTTTCAGAGTGGGTAGGGGATGTGTAGATCAAGTGTTTACATTGAAGCATATATGTGAACAGTATTTAGATAAAGGTAGGGAAGTTTTTATTGCATTTATGGATTTAGAAAAGGCATATGATAGAGTGGATAGAGGAGCAATGTGGCAGATGTTGCAAGTATATGGAATAGGTGGTAAGTTATTAAATGCTGCAAAGAGTTTTTATGAGGATAGTGAGGCTCAGGTTAGGGTGTGTAGAAGAGAGGGAGACTACTTCCTGGTAAAAGTAGGTCTTAGACAGGGATGTGTAATGTCACCATTGTTGTTTAATATATTTATAGATGGGGTTGTAAAGGCAGTAAATGCTAGGGTGTCTGGGAGAGGGGTGGGATTAAATTTTGGGGAATCAAATTCAAAATGGGAATTAACACAGTTACTTTTTGCTGATGATACTGTGCTTATGGGAGATTCTAAAGAAAAATTGCAAAGGTTAGTGGATGAGTTTGGGAATGTGTGTAAAGGTAGAAAGTTGAAAGTGAACATAGAAAAGAGTAAGGTGATGAGGGTATCAAATGATTTAGATAAAGAAAAATTGGATATCAAATTGGGGAGGAGGAGTATGGAAGAGGTGAATGTTTTCAGATACTTGGGAGTTGACATGTCAGCGGATGGATTTATGAAGGATGAGTTTAATCATAGAATTGATGAGGGAAAAAAGGTGAGTGGTGCGTTGAGGTATATGTGGAGTCAAAAAACATTATCTATGGAGGCAAAGAAGGGAATGTATGAAAGTATAGTAGTACCAACACTCTTATATGGGTGTGAAGCTTGGGTGGTAAATGCATCAGCGAGGAGACGGTTGGAGGCAGTGGAGATATCCTGTTTAAGGGCAATGTGTGGTGTAAATATTATGCAGAAAATTCGGAGTGTGGAAATTAGGAAAAGGTGTGGAGTTAATAAAAGTATTAGTCAGAGGGCAGAAGAGGGGTTGTTGAGGTGGTTTGGTCATTTAGAGAGAATGGATCAAAGTAGAATGACATGGAAAGCATATAAATCTATAGGAGAAGGAAGGAGGGGTAGGGGTCATCCTCGAAAGGGTTGGAGAGAGGGGGTAAAGGAGGTTTTGTGGGCGAGGGGCTTGGACTTCCAGCAAGCGTGCGTGAGCATGTTAGATAGGAGTGAATGGAGACGAATGGTACTTGGGACCTGACGATCTGTTGGAGTGTGAGCAGGGTAATGTTTAGTGAAGGGATTCAGGGAAACCAGTTATTCTCATATAGTCGGACTTGAGTCCTGGAAATGGGAAGTACAATGCCTGCACTTTAAAGGAGTATATATATATATTATATATATATATATATAATATATATATATATATATATATATATATATATATATATATATATATATTTTATTTATATATTTTATTACCACACACCACCTCCACCAACCACCCAAAAACAAAAAACACTTCACCACACACTCACACGCTCCAAACACACACATTTCAAACTGCAACATGGACACCCCCCTTAATGAGGCACTTATCTTTCCCAAACTCAGACTCAAAGTATCGTAGCCGGTTTTCCCCTGAATACCTTCAAAATTTACTTTCTCACACTCCAACAGTACAGATTAAAAAAATTTTCCCATAAATACTAATTTTAAACACACAAATGAAGGAAGAATGCCAATTGCTACTCACAAGAAAATCCTACCACTTAAACCCTTTTCTAGACGACCCTTGCCTTCTTTGACAGATGATACACTGTGTGGGAAGTTATTTGTTTCGATGGCATTCCCCTCACATGGGTCGAAGCAATCCTCTAACAACCCCTCCTCAAGCCCATTGGACACAGTTTTGGATCCCGACCTCTTCCCAACTTCCAAAGCTCGAATCCTTTCTTTAATTTTCCCACAAATGGCCCTAACATTGACATCTACCCCTTTCCAACAGGGGCCGTCACTGTGCCAGGCGATTTCATCCCATGCTTCAACCCATATTGAACTTTCGTAAACTCTTTTACTCTCATACAATTCCCCTCTTTGCCTCCAAGGACATAAGTTCTTTGCTCCACAGACTCCTAAGTGCATCACTCACTCTTTTTCCCTCATCAATTCTAATGAATTCACCTCATCTTTCATAGACCCATCCGCTGACCACGTCCACTCCCAAATATCTGAATACATTCACCTCCTCCATACTCTCTCCCTCCATCTGATATTCAATCTTTCATCACCTAATCTTTTGTTATCCTCATAACCTTACTCTTTCCTGTATTCACCTTTAATTTTCTTCTTTTGCACACCACCTACCAAATTCATCCACCAATCTCTGCAACTTCTCTTCAGAATCTCCCAAGAGCACAGTGTCATCAGCAAAGAGCAGCTGTGACAACTCCCACTTTGTGTGTGATTCTTTATCTTTTAACTGCACGCCTCTTGTCAAGACCCTCGCATTTACTTCTCTTACAACCCCATCTATAAATATATTAAACAACCACGGTGACATCACACACCCTTGTCTAAGGCCTACTTTTACTGGGAAATAATTTCCCTCTTTCCTACATACTCTAACTTGAGCCTCACTATCCTCGTAAAAACTCTTCACTGCTTTCAGTAACCTACCTCCTACACCATACACTTGCAACATCTGCCACATTGCCCCCCTATCCACCCTGTCATACGCCTTTTCCAAATCCATAAATGCCACAAAGACCTCTTTAGCCTTATCTAAATACTGTTCACTTATATGTTTCACTGTAAACACCTGGTCCACACACCCCTACCTTTCCTAAAGCCTCCTTGTTCATCTGCTATCCTATTCTCCGTCTTACTCTTAATTCTTTCAATAACAATTCTACCATACACTTTACCAGGTATACTCAGCAGACTTATCCCCCTATAATTTTTGCACTCTCTTTTATCCCCTTTGCCTTTATACAAAGGAACTATGCATGCTCTCTGCCAATCCCTAGGTACCTTACCCTCTTCCATACATTTATTAAATAATTGCACCAACCACTCCAAAACTATATCCCCACCTGCTTTTAACATTTCTATCTTTATCCCATCAATCCCGGCTGCCTTACCCCCTTTCATTTTACCTACTGCCTCACGAACTTCCCCCACACTCACAACTGGCTCTTCCTCACTCCTACAAGATGTTATTCCTCCTTGTCCTATACAAGCAATCACAGCTTCCCTATCTTCATCAACATTTAACAATTCCTCAAAATATTCCCTCCATCTTCCCA